AATAGTATGTACTGCTGGCGCTTATATAGCGCGCCTAAGCGCGGTCAAGCGGAGCTGAAGCGCTACCGAGTAGGTATGTAAATATATATATGAGTGAGAATGCATGATAAAAATAAAGGTGGAACTATGCTAATAAAGGAAATGGAAATATACGCACTAGGGAGCTTGGTGGACAGTGGATGGATGCTTCTGGATGGCTGGCGCCATAGGGCGCGCAAGCGCGGGAACGCGCGCGCGCGTATACATCGCGAAGCGCGGGAATGGTGCGCGCATGGCGCGCGTTGCGCGGGAAAGCTGCGCGTCATATAGAGATAGCTGTGGGTAGTGCACAGAGTGACGCTACAAGTTCGTGCTATGTACTTCCTAGTGTAAAGCACCATATCACGCCATGAGAGGCATAATTCTCTACATCTCCCAGGGACTTAAATTCTGAGTGTCCCCACTCAGTGCGTGTGTGGTGAGGGTTTCGCGTGATAGTATGCATGTGCGATGCATGTACGATGCTTTGGTTGTTGGGCGATGAATGCGTGATCATAAGAATGGTATGTGTGAAGCACGGGAAGTTGCGCGCATGTTACGCGCGAGGCGCGAGAATGCGCGCGCGCTATGCGTGAAGGCGCGGGAATGAAGCGTAGCATGGTGGATTGCGAGGGTGACTCTGATGTGATTAATGTGCCATGGGTGTGGGGCGATGATGCAAGGGTGATATGGATGTGGCGCGCAAAGCGTGGGCGAGATGCGCGCATATCCATATAGCGCGGGAAAGTGCGCGAGGACGCGCATGAGTGTCGCATGTGTTGTATTCTGTGGGGATGGCGCGAAGTGGCGCAGTCCAGGAGCAATCCAATCCATGTCCAAACCAAGTCCTACTAGGCGTGCTAAATATTAGTTGCTAAAGGTTTGAACAGCATGAGTAAAACTATAAGTGAAAATATGAAGGGAAAATGGTAAACTTTGCGGATGTCCTATCCGACTTGTCTTCTTCGTGCAGCTGTCAACATCTACACCTTCCTATGAGAAAGGCGCGGGAAGCGTATGTGCGCGTATATGCGCGTGAGCGTGGGAAGACTGCGCGCATATGTGCGCGTTCTAAGGTGAAAAGGAGCATGGTGCCGCGTCATGCGTGCGAAGAGGAAATATACTATTGAGCTAGGCGGGCACGATCTATGGTTGTTTTTTTGTTTTTGGCGACTCCTATGTGCATATATATCAGTAAGTTATTAGTTCTTTGGATGGCGTTATAATGAGAGAAAATAAAATGAAAGAGCGCTGGATGAAACCCAGGGTAAAACGAATGGTATCCTATGAAACAGCGATGGTATACGTTGTTCTTTGATGCGCAGCTGAGGCGCTTGATCCTCCTCCTTGAGCGCGTGCGAGTGCGCGTAATAGCGCACTTCGCGTCTCTTGCGAGCTAACGCGTTACCCAAGGTAGGGTTGGAATGTGTGAGGCTGGCGCGCTTGGGTGGGCTTGTGACTGGCAGAATGAATTCCTGCACAACGCGCTGCAGGTTGAAGGCGCGCCAATGGGAGGCGCAGCAAGGGGTGTAGAGGCGCCCTACAAGCTGATAGGATGCGCGCGATGTGCGCGCCTTGGCGCAATTTCGCGCGAATTTGATTATATTGGCCGAACACGCGAGGAACGGCCATTTCTCTGCAAATTCATTAGCGAGAGACATGTATAGTGAAGAATTAGGCGCAAATGTTGCGCCAATGGGCTGTAAGGGTGGTATATCAAGGCGCAATAGGCGCATAGGTGAAGGAGAATAGTGCGCATCAAGGCGCGCAGGAACGAAATTGACATGGTAAGCAAAAGTGCGAAGAATGCGAATAAATGTGCGAAGTGCGAAGTTAAAGGTGATGATAGGGGGGTTAGGCGCATATGTATGTGTCAGGCGCGCGCCTATGTCGCGCCTGGATGTCTGATTGGAATATACCTTGTGTTGAATGACAGAAATGAAATTTAAAAGGGGAGAAGCGATAGAAATGCGGTAGCGTGAAAACTCTGCTAAATTTATGAGTGCACGAGGCACGGGAACGCGCGTGCATATTGCGCGATGCGCGTGATCATGGCGCGTGAACAAGGGGTGGTGAGAAGATGAAATTAAAGTGTTTGGAATCATCATATAGCTCCTTAAGAGCTTCAAACGTGAAAAGGACAAAAAGCGCGAAACAAGATGAGGGTAAATATACACTGCCTCTAGGCGCGCGCATTGCGCGTCCTTAGGCGCAATATGGTGCGCCTGAGACGCGCCAGGGTCGCCTGAGACATGCTCTGCTTGATGGTTAGGTGGTGTGATGCATGGATGTTTTACCGGCGCGCGGTAGTCACTAGAAGCAAAGAGCGCGATGTGCGCGTGATCGTTAGTGACAATTGGAATTACCAGAGACAAACTCTGGTTGATGCAAGATGCGACTTGAGCCTCCGGTGTGGCAGAAGGCTCCTCTATAGGCGCGCTAAGGCGCGATAGATATTTAGGGTCATCCCTGACCTCTGGTGATGCAAGCAGTGATGGTGATGGTGCGATTGGCGAGGTTTCTTCCTTAAGCGATGCGATAGCGAGGGGCGAGCGTGTTTCTAGCGGTGCATTAGTGTGCAATAGATGATTAGAGTCATCCCTGACTGCTGGCGATATGATAGCGATGGGCGCGCGCGATGCGATAGCGATAGGCGCGCGTGTTTCAACTGGCGCGTTAGTGTGCAATAGATGATTAGAGTCATCCCTGACTTCTGATGTGATTGATGGTGATGGAGATGATGCGGATTGTGAAGGAGATGATGCTGCTGAGGATGATAGTGAAGAGGCGCCTGCAGCGCGCTTTGCGAGCGCGCGTTCGAGTTCGTGATCTAAAGTAATGCAGTCTGATATAGCTTTGCATGCTGGCGCAGTTGATGCTTGAGGTGCGCGTGAATCGCGCGTAGGCGCGGGAAAGGCGCGCGCGCGAGGCACGTGAATAGGAACTGGTGGCTTTCTGTCAAGTACAACATCTGAGGGTGCGCGATAGAAGAGTCCAGCTGTTGCATTAGTGCTAATGGTCGTATCCTGCGTTGCGCGACGCGCGTGGTAGCGATCTTTGTACTTAGCTACCTTAGCTTGCACTGGTGTGCTTGGCGCTACCACAGGTGCGCTAACTGGTGCGCTTACTGGTGCGCTTGGCGCGGGAAAAGCGCGCGCAGGTAATAGGAACTGCGCAGCTGCGAAGATGTCCATGAACGGGTATGGGTCGTATGGATGGTGGTCAGGGAACTTGATCATAAGGCGCAAGCGAATTTGCGCCTGAGCATCGCTAGGGATTCCTTCCATGAATAGGTGGTCGCGTTCGGCCTTTCCAATACGGTCTTCATCCATGAGTGGCTGCATAACCTTCCTGAATGCGCGCAGGTAACTGCTTAGTTCTGTGCAAGAGGGCATTGGTTTGTTAGCGTATTCGCGCGCAATGGCGCGCAAGTCTGCGAGCGCGTAGCACCTTTTACCATCCCATCCAGGATACATTACCTTCACTTCTGTCATGAATGCTTCATAATCACTTACTGCCGCTTCTGGCATACCTCCCCATAGTTCTCGATCGTCGCGCTCAAGGTAGCGGATAATACCTTTAATGCGGTCGTGTCCTTGGAGTCCTGCTTCATCAGCGAGCTGCTCATATGCGTCAATAAATTCAGCGAGGTTGTCTGTAGTGCCGTCAAACTTGGGCGCGTTTGCTGTGCCGCGGATGGGCAATCTATAAGGCATTGAGGCGCGAAAAAGTGCAGGCGCGCGCGAGGCGTATAACAGGTGCGCGCGTGACGCGCAGAGGCGTGGGAAAGCGCGCGCGCAAGGCGCGAGAATGCGTGACTAGAAACTGGTTAGCTTTTGAATATGCAAAGAGATTGACCTTTATGTGTTAATTAGTGTGAAGTGCGAAGATGTGCAAAACTAGATCTTGCTGACTGCTCCCCTCGCGGTGGGCTCCAGTTGTAGAAACAACAATACAATGAGGAACAAGGATGCTCCTAACTGTATCTATAAAATGTTGTGAGGTCGCGCGTTACCTAGTCTGCTATTCTTGAGGAGACAAGTGCGTTCGACCCTAGGGGAAGCGAGTGCTGCGAAGATCTAGAGGTACGCGCTTCAGCGAAGCGTGAGAAAGCGCAAGTGCGCGCAAGGTACGAAGGCGCGGGAACGCGCGCGCGTATTAGCGCGAAGTGCGGGAAAGCGCGCGCGCGTAAGCGGAAATAAAAGAGACTAAGCTTAAGTGATGATATAAAGCAATATAAGAAAAGATAGATGCAAAGTGTAGACCAATAGACTTCCACTATGTACTGCTAAGTAAATAGTGGGTGATAACTAGTAAGTTCAAGGGAAAAGTAAGGTTAGTAATAGTATGTACTGCTGGCGCTTATATAGCGCGCCTAAGCGCGGTCAAGCGGAGCTGAAGCGCTACCGAGTAGGTATGTAAATATATATATGAGTGAGAATGCATGATAAAAATAAAGGTGGAACTATGCTAATAAAGGAAATGGAAATATACGCACTAGGGAGCTTGGTGGACAGTGGATGGATGCTTCTGGATGGCTGGCGCCATAGGGCGCGCAAGCGCGGGAACGCGCGCGCGCGTATACATCGCGAAGCGCGGGAATGGTGCGCGCATGGCGCGCGTTGCGCGGGAAAGCTGCGCGTCATATAGAGATAGCTGTGGGTAGTGCACAGAGTGACGCTACAAGTTCGTGCTATGTACTTCCTAGTGTAAAGCACCATATCACGCCATGAGAGGCATAATTCTCTACACCGGCCACAAATTATCAAGTCTGCCTCTCGACGATAGTTGAAAATCTTCCTTGCCTGCCATTGCACATAACACTTTGCCATTACCCTGTGCCTTTCACAACCCTGCATGCATGATACATACTCATTGAGCTTATTCCAGTTACCCATCAATTTTCTTTCCGCTGCCTGAATTTCCTGCAGGATGACGTCTACATTCGCTGCTGCGAACATTTGAGCATAGCGTGCCCGGGTCTCTTCTTCCAAACGACACTGTCTGCCATGCATGACATCCACAAGATTGCGGGTAAAGCGAGCCTCATGTGGTGAATTTGGAGGAGGAGGGGAATCGTACGGTGGTGGTTTGTCCCACTGGAATACATCGGACTCGTCAATCAACTCCGACCCAGAATATGCTTGTTGGAACAGAAATGAGTCGGGCAAGGGAAGCGCTGCCAGTGCGATGAGAGATTGGGGAAGTGGTTTTGTATTGCTGAGGGATCCAGAAGTATTGGTCCTCTTCCGTCCACGGAGTTTGGCATTAGCACGAGCATTTTGCATTCGTCGAGCAGCTTTTCCCCTGTAGTTTGTTAAACAATCAGCACAGAAAGATCAATAGAGGGAGTCACCGTTCTGTCCTTGAGTATGAAATCTTCTGTTGGCGTAAGGCAGCGTTTTTCTCCTCAAGTGTGAAGTATTTTGCTCTACGACCCATTGGTTCAGTGTAAAGTACTACAAAGCAATGTAAAGTACTTAGTACGACATCACACATTAATTGCTACTGGTTGTATTGCAGCATATTTCACTGCCCATACTCCTTAGTTCTCTTATACTAAGGTGAAAGCGCACTCCATGAGAGTTATCTGAGCTTGTTTCAAACGATATTGGAGCACTGTAAGGCGCTGCATTTGTCTTTCAACTGTAGCACGAATTGTATTCACAATGTGATTGGCTCTAAACACTCTCGGAGGCCCCCGAGGCTCAGCGCTCAGCGTTGACACATCACCCTCAACATCACCCTCAACATCACCCTCGTGAGCCTCTAACATTGTGCGCGGGCCTCCATTACAGCATTTGCGTCAGTGAAAATTTAAATTGTTCTATCAAAGATCCTTGCTTCTTTCATATCGTAAGTAGTATGATACGTTTCAGCATTGTGATTGGTCTTAAGTTTCCTACTCGTCTGCAGACCACCAGACCCCCTGCATTGAAGGTTACCGTGGCGCCTCTCCCCCTCTAGCCACAATATCTGCGAGCCTCTATTACAGCATAGGTGCATCCCTATTTCAAATGTCCGCTGGTTTTACTGACTTTAGCATAACATGTATCTCAATGGAATCATTCCATTCATGTAGGATTAAAACTCCCTGCGCGCAGGAATTTAAACTCCTTGCAATAAAATTAAAATGCTTGCTCTTAAGATCGAGGTAGGTTCTATTGTTCCTCCCCCCTTCACCTTCCTCAAAATCTGACCGTCTCTGAAGGCTAGATTGTGCACTTCCGCTCTGGCAATATCCTTCATCTCTGAATCAACACTCAGACCATCAGCAGCTTTGAACGTACAGTCCCTCCAGACCGATGTAAGTCGTTACAGCATTGATCTTTGAAACCATACTGACATACATCCAGTGTCTACCAATTTTTTTCGCCCGCTTCGATTTTTTTTTTCGGTGGTACGTCCAGTTGCTCCTCACTTTGTTCAATTCTCCTTTACTAACACACTACCTGCTACCCACTCAGCATTCTTGCCCTTTTCTGCTCTCAATTTTCACCATCAAATATCAACGGTGCTCAACTCTGTATGTTCATCCTACAGCAACCTTGCAGCGCATCTGACAATCCCACAGCTATGACTCATACATTCAACGACTACTCATTCCCCCTCGAACCAAACGTGCCACCCCCTCAAAGTTATAGCACCTCGTCTCAATCTATGCATCTTTCTCCCGGCGGAGATTATATTCAGGAACAGTATGGTGGAGGGCATCGTTCCAAGAGCCCTCTAGTGGAGTTAACTCCTACCAGACTTCGGAGTAGGATCAAGGCTACGCAGCGCGATGTTGGCATAGTCAAAGAGGCCGCCATCCGGCGTCAGGAAAGCTCATTCTCACCCAACACTCTAACCAGTCCCTCAGCGCCCCCAGAATCTGCACCTCCGCATCCTATCCACGATAACAGTGTTGTGGGAGGTGATGCATCGTCTGCTCTTCCTCAGGGCAATATTCGACATACATCTCCACATCCCCATGCTCCCGAGCCTCCACGTCCTGCACCTCTACAGGACATGTTTTACAATCCCATAGAGGCACAATCCAGCGGATGGTTGGCGCAGCAATCTCATTCCTTTGGAGTGATGGATGATGCATCGTTCACGGCACTGCTCATGGAGACGCAGGAACATTTTATGTCTTCTGATGTTGGCTCGGATTTTGCTAACCAGCCACCCTCCTTACATGCACCCTCTTGTGACCCTCCGGTACCTCAAAGTGTTGGAGGAAGTTCTAGCCAGATCGCACCTATGATTACCAATATCATCCCACCAACACCGCTGAAGGATGCTGGCCCCCCTCCTTGTGCCTCCCTGCATGAGCGTGGTGCTTTCATCGATACTGGAAATGTCGATGACTTGCTCTCTAATCCTCGGGACAGCAAAGATGCGCCTGCCTCGACATCAGGCCAGTCATTTGTCCCTGGACGGAAGTCTGCTGACACCAGTTCAATCCTCGAAGCTGCTTTCGTCGAGATTGAGCAATCATTCCTCGAGCTCTCAGGGTCAACATCAATTCCCGTACAGCAAGTCATCAACTGGTTTTTGAAAAGTCGAGGTCGGACGACAGTCAGCACTAACTTCTGGAATCTATACGCTCGCAGTTACTTCAAGGATCACACAGAGCAAGAACTTGCACGAGTTGGACTTAAGCTTCCGGCAGATGGAGGCTCTCCGGGTAAGTTATGATCATATATGTTGATGCGGTACTTACGGTTCCATCGTGAATTTTAGGTATGTCGATTCGGACGAAATGCTATGACCTCTTCAAAGAGGCTTTTCCAGACACATACAAAGATATTCTCTCCGTCCACGATGAGGTAACGATCCTATCCGCCACCCCTCAAACAGTCTCTCAGCGTGGACAAGAGTTTCAAAAATACTACCGAAGGATGTTTAGCATCGTAAGTATACTTCCCTGGCGTCTCGCTGCTCGCTGTGCCCTGATTGTCTTTCATTATAGGCTGATGGCACTGCTGCTAAATTTGGGTTTGAGACCGCAATGGTCATCTGTGGTGGAATTGTCAATCAAGATGCCTCCCTCGGTCAAGTTCATACTACACCAGGCGCTGCAGACGTAAGTATCTTGAGAGTGATATTCAACACTTTGATCGCTAATGCTGGTTTGCTAGTTCTGGAGTATGCGATGCCGAGCTGATGGTGACACCATCATCGGTCACCTCAAAGCTCATGTCTAGTAAGTCTCATTCTGCGTCTTACCATTATCTTTTTCTTACTCATCTTCCAAACAGTAATAAAAGTTCACTGGCAGTGGTAGAAGATGCCTTCGATGACTTGCCTGAAGATGACGAAGAAGCCTCTTCTAAGGATGCTGACCCGATTCCTTCAACTGAAGTTGAGGGTCGTGAGGAATCTCTCCGGTGGCTCAAGAGAGAAATCGCGAAACGAGTCAGTAAGTAGCTATTCTAGTTCTTTTCGGTTCAGTCTGACATGCTTGTTTAGCTGACCTTGGCGGGAAGTTTGCATCTGATAAGAATTTCCCCTGGAAAACGATGCCAAGCTCCTTAGCATCTGGCGGCCTGAACATTGAAGGGTACCCTGCGCACAAGTGCCTCATGCCGGGTGAATCTCATGATCCGATGTCCAAAAACAACAAGGGGATAGGTGTATTGACGTATAAAGAGGTTGCAGCACTTGTTGATGCTTACAAGGCTGGCACTATGTGCGTGGTTAAGTCTTCCCATACACACAGTAAGTTTTGTCTCTATTCAGTAGCCCAATTTTAACAATGTTTTCGTAGTGTCCTTGATCGAATCAAAAATGCCAGTTATCATCGGGGAAGCTCCTCCGTCCACCTGGGAGTACCCATGTGCTCGTCGCATGTTTGCTGATCGGCATACAGATTATAGTGGCCCGGATCGCGTGGGGACAAGCGCCGCACAGACCAGACTCAAAAAAAATAAGGCATCAAAAGCTCGTGATTTTGAGCATCCAGAGGGGGTCATGTATCCTCGCCTTTCTGCTCATCCCGTTAAGTTCGTTGCCAACAGCATTGCTAGGCCACCCCCTCCTTCTCGTCCCTTTAAGGTCGTTGCTAGGCCCATTACCAACCAACAAACTCCCCCTCCCGCTCGTCCCTTTCAGGCCGCTGTTAAGTCAGCTGTGCCAATGGCTTCTAAGGCTGCCATGCAGGAAGTCATCGAACTCACATCAGCTTCGGAAGGCTCGAAGGACGCAACAGCAGAGGAACCAGACACTGAATATGAAGATGATTTACGCGGGAATAAACGGAAATTAAAGTCAGGAAATTCCTCCCGGACGTCCAAGAAGTGTGCTTCCTCAGAGGCTATCATTGAACCAAAGAAGGAAGGTGTGCGTTTCAAGGCGAAACCACTGAAACCATCTCCTTCCGATGCCTCTCCATTGAAGGGGGGTCCGCTGTCACCGTTAACAGTGGGGTCTTCTTCAGTTGACGAAGAACGCTCATCTGGCAATGAAGGTTTGTGCTACACGTGTCATATGTCTTTCCTCGCTCACCATCTTATTCAGCTGCCCAGCCAGTTCGACCTGCAATTCGCATCCGGGACGGTACTTCCAAAGTGCAGCCAAAATTCAAGGGTACGTATCTGTTTTTGGATTTACTCGTCACTGACTTGTTTACTACAGCACTCCCAAAACCAAAACGTGTGGCAAAGGAATCACGGACAGCCATGCACCGTGTACACCAAAGGATGTATACGGTCGATTCGGAAGAGGAGGATGCTCCAGGTCGAATTGACTCGGAGGTTACAGCGGATGCTGGAAAAGGTGCTACCACGCTTGCAGACCCTCAGCTCGATGCTGCAGCTCAGCCAGTGAACCCTACCCCGATTACACTGGCCTCTACTACAGAGGACAATGTCTCCGGGCAACCGGAAGTCACGCCCAGTGTGGCTTCACAACCTCAGAGCTCTGAGCCACCCCAACCCTCAAACAGTACGATCCAGACAACGTCTTCCCCTTTCACACCTAGCAACGAGGAGAATGGAAATTCCCAAGCTCGATCTATCAACCATCCATCTTCACGTCCTGCTGGGCAGATGCCCCTTCCACAGCCTGAGCCGCTTCAGACTGATATTCATATCGAGGGAGCCGAACACTATGCACGTTCTCCATTGTTTTCACGTGAGGCTCCCATCCCACGTGAGGCTTCTTTACACATGCATGAGCTTCCCAGTCATCCTCGTGAGCCTTCCGTGCCACTGCGAGAGCCTCTGCTTCGTCCTCGCGAGCCTTCCGTGCCACTGCGAGAGCCTCTGCTCCATCCTCGTGAGCCTTCCGTGCCACTGCGAGAGCCTCTGCCTCATCCTCGTGAGCCTTCTGTGCCATTGCGAGATCGCTCTGTACACCCTCGTGATCACTCTGTGCGCCCTCGTGAGGGACCCTCCTACTCACACGATGATGCTCACTATCGTGATGCACATGACACACTCTATGATCGCAATGGTCCCCCTCGCACCCATCCTCATCCTTCTGGCATCCTCAATCCACATGGCCTTCCACGCACCCGTAATATTGAAGAAGCTCGGTACGGTCGTGCACCCATGGGATTCAATCATCCAGGCTATCCTTCTCGTTACGGCTCGCCTGCTGAAGGATATGACGACCGCTATGATGACCCTAGGTATCCGTCAGACTCCTACTATCAAGACATGCGCAGTCATGACCGGAGGTACTATGGGGATAATAATAGATGGGCAGACCGCCGCTGATACCTACTAACATTTCTCTCTCGCCCTTTTAGTGTAATGACTGTCATTTTGTTACCTCGTGCATTGCCTCAGATTGGATGTAGTACCTCCTTCTGAAAAACTGTTTTAGTGAATTCTTGTATATCACGCCCAGCCAATGTTATGCCCGCAACTTGCAAGCTGCCTCCTGAGTTCTCGTCCCTGATGATAAATTTTTCGTCCAAGAATCCCAATCCCACTGTATCCTGGAGGTTCGCGTGGGGCATGGAATGCAAATAAATTGAATTGCTCTGAACTGTGGTACATGGTTCAAATGTATGAATACTATTATTACAGAGTGGGTGGGGGTGGAGCCTTCGCCAGAGGTGTAGGATGAAGATGGGGTTGCTGAGAATGAGCCAGGGAAGCCTCTCGGGAAGGAAATGTTCATGTTGGACGGCTCATTGACGGATGAGGTCAGTTGAAGTGTTTCGTTTGAAATCAGGTGCTTCAAAAGATTCGGATTAGTGTAAGATGCTGTGGGATGAATGAAAGGAATCATACCAGCCCTTCTCCTTGTCGAGCGTGTCGCCCATGTTCTTTGACAACTTCTTGAATTCGTGTTTGAACTGTTTGTGTTGAGCGACAAATGCGAGTTTAAGTGTTGGGTGGGCAGGAAGAGAGTGAAAATTGACTTATGAGTCACTAGGTGGTTCGTCCGGTCTAGTAGGGTCCCATCAAGATGAGGGAAGCAGGAGGTTTCGGTGAGACCAAAACAAACTAAGTGTTGACATCAGCGAAAATGAGCACAAACCGTCGAAGGTGGGGTATAAAATTTATAAAAAAATTCAATTAACAGATGAAAGAATGCATAGTCGAAGGATCGAACTTAAGAGTCTGCCAAAATCACAACACCACTACCACTTCACTACCATGCCTCTGACTACACAGCGTGCCCATAATATATGAGGGCATTTGGTGTTCCATTACTTCGTCCGTTGATTGTCAACAAGGCCATCGATCATCAACGGAATCAATTATCGATGGGCACACATCTTCTCAATGTGTTATCGATGTCGTTCCTCTACACGCCTCCCTCTTTCTATACCTTCATTGGATTCATGGATTTTACCCAGCTCGACTACATGCTCGAGCGTATGGCATCGCGCTACAAGGTGGACGCGCAGGAGGTGCTGGACAAATGGTTGGAGAAGCGAGAGGTCCGTGATCCTGAGGGATGGAGGCTCCTCGAAGGTATACCTTGCATCGTTGGAGGGTTGACGGCGCTTCTCGGTAAGTGTCACAGTCAGATCATAGTGTAGAACAGCTAAATATGTTACAGGGACCCTCGAAGGATGAGGGGGAAACTTCCCGTGGAAGACCCTACCTACCGTTCTAGCCCGTCGTGGCTGTATCCTCGAAAACTACCCAGAAGACGTCCTTATGCCCGGCGAGAGGCGTTCAACCCTTGCAAAGAGCAAGGGTATCCACGACCTCACTATCCATGAGCGCTTCAAACTTGCGAATGCCCTCAAGAATGACGCCCTCACCATTAAATCGGTTGCAACAGACGCTCGCAAAAGTCTTACGACCTCACGTGTCCCCGTCATTGTTGGAGAAGCGCCCATAGCAAATTCTCTTCACACTCGTGGGCGACGAGGGTTTGCCAATGGACGGATTGATCGGTTTGGCCTGACCCGTCTGGCCAACGCTTCCTCTTCAAAATCTGGCGCCACATCATCTAATCGGCGCAGACTCCGTGTGTTCGTAGAAGTCCCACTTGCGCCACCCTCCTGGAGGTTGAAGGCGATTCAGCAACGTTCACCGGTCATTGAACCCGATCATAGCGACCTTGTCCCAGAGATCACCACTATTAAGGACAGCACTATTCATGATGAAGACGCAGTCAGCAATGCCACTACCGAGGACGAAGGAGAAATAGATGAGCTTTTCAGTTCGCAGCTGCAGGAACAAACATGATCTGTGAGCCTCTCGAGCCTCCCTCTGATGTTCACAAATTAATGTGACCCTCAGGAGCGCCTACTCGACCCTCGCAAACCTCCATTACATCCTCACGAGCCTCCCATCACGGCATGTACTAATCATTGATATGGCACAGCATTGAGAGGGATAACGAGTGTATTTTCTTCTTCGTGGTTTGGATCTCTTATCGTGTCCGTTTCACGTCCATGTCTTCTTTGAGTTGTTAATGTCTCTGTCCCTTT